AAAAAAAAAAAAATAGTATAGGTCATATTATTAAGGCCCCCATATTAGGTTAGGGGCTAGGATTCGGGGTTGTTGGGGTTTTTGGAGACCCGAGGGGCTGCCGCCGTTGCTATGTGCCAATGGCAGAACTGCGTTCTCAGTTCTCGGTTTAGGGTTTAGGGTTTAGGGTTTAGGGTTCAGGGTTTAGGGTTTAGGGTTTAAGGTTCTGTTCCTTGTAGTATAAGGGCCTTAACAAGCAGAATAGGGTTTCGGGCTATGTTACACTATGATCAGAATTACAAATAAGGAACTAAGAAACACTGCATGAGCTTAGGCTTCGCATACCGTGGGCTAGCTTCGTGAAACACAAGTTTAGGCTTCGAAACTGGCGGCGGGCATCTGTCACCGAAGCGCCTTCGGTCGTCTTGACTTTATGCGCTGCTGCTCGTACTGTGCGCTTGCTTCCGAAACTGGGGTTCCATGCTTGAGATGTCTTCCCATACCTTTTGTTCTCAATATGTACCTTGTAGTCACTGGTTTACGAAGGCTTATGTTGCTGGGGTGTTGTGGCCGCGGATGGCAGACCGGCATGGGAGGCATGGGTTTTGCTTGTGCGGAGTGGTTTGACTCCCCTGCAGCATGCTTTTCGTTTGGGGTTTAGGGTTTACGGTTTCGAGACTACAGTGGAAGTCTCGCTCCAACTTGGGGCAGCGCTTTTTTGCGTCACTCGCAAATAGATGCTGGATGGACCTTGGCGGCTCACGCTCAGCTAACGTTACCACGGCAACACGAGCAAAACGGAAGCAGCACCCTGTTAGCCTAAACCCTATAGACCCCACACCGGCCCTCAAACCCTAAGCCCTAAAGCTCATGCAAGGCTGAGGTCAAGGCAGATCCAGCAAAGGCTGGAGCCAATGAAGGCTCCCAGGGTGCCGGTAACGACGGACACATCCTCTGTCCCCACCCAAGCTCAGACTTTACGGCATCAGACACGGCAGTTTCTGCAGCCCGTGTCCTCGATGCAAGATGCGACGGTGGAGATGGCGACCACCATAAGGCTGGTGATGGCGATCTCAGCAAGGCTCAAAGCAAGTTGAAGCAGAAAAACAGCCAAGCTGCGTCCCAGTCGCATGTGCTAGAGTGGGCCACTCTTTCATTGCCTGCGTCAACAAGCATGCCCCTCTGCGATTCAGACGCCTTCATTCATTTAACTATGCCGCACCCACAAGTCGAAATGCCGCTCTGTGGCATGTTCGCCCTACTGGGGGCCGCATCCCTAGATTGAGCATCACGAACCTGGCCTTCTGCAGGACTGGCTGTGAGCCGATGAGAGAATCCCGCGCCGCAGTGAACACCAAAGGATACGTGAAAATAATGGCCTCAGGCTGCAAGAGGTAGATCTTCTAGGGTTTTGGGGTTTTAGGGCTTTAGGGTTTATGGTTTTAGCTTTAGGTTTTAGGGTTTAAGTTTTAGGGTTTTCAGGAATCTTCTAGATTCTTCGAATTTGTCGAGAACGAGATTTGCATCCCTGGTATTCTCACCTGCAGTAGGGAGCCAAATCCACAGTAATGGAGAACCTTTGGGGTAGTTCTAGAAATTAGGGTCCCCTTTAGGGTCCTTGTCAAAACGGGGCCGTCCTTTTCCGGTGGACTTCAAAAGGTGACCCGAATTTAGAGAAGTCTCCCTATCCCGAAACCCCTAAACCCTAAACCCCTAAACCCTCAACCCCTAAACCCTCAACCCTAAACCCCTAAACCCCAAACCCCTAAACCCTCAACCCTAAACCCTAAACCCCCAAAACCCCTAGACCGCTGATCGGCAACTTTCGTGCCCTACGTCTCTTGGCCCCGGGGGGGTCTCGGACGAGACCCCAGCGGCCAAGCGTCGGACCGACCATCGATGGTAATGTAGGGGCCTTCTTCTTAGGGTTTACCTGAAGTATTAGGGCTTTTAGGGTTTAGGGTCCGGGGTTTAGGGTTTATAATGTAGGGGCCTAAATAATTAGAATAGGGTTTTGGGGGCTCGTTGCTATAATTATAGTCTAATGGGCCCCGATACCCTAACTAGTCTAATAATTAAGGCCCCTTGCCTTCAGCATCAGGCATCTCCCCACACGCCAAGTGGACACTGTTCGAGTACTTGCAGCCGCAAGGGCATCAGCTGAGTGTGCTTTTGCCCTCAGT